GCATGTTGTAGGATATGAAGCACACTGTGACTTTCTTTTTTGCTATCTTGGATTTGTGTTCATAGTGTTACTTTCTCCTCTCCTCCATTCCCCTCTTAATGGACGTAAAGAGGTTCAGAAAAGATGGTGACAGTTGATAATAGAGCAGTTTCCCATGAGAGCTGGAGTAGATGTGCTTCAGAAATTAGTCTAGGCAAATGGAGAGGGGGAAACATTTTAAGAGACGGGAACGAGGGGCTTCCCTGGTGGTGCAGTGGTTAAGAATCCGCCTGCCAGTGCAGGGGACACGGGTTCGAGCCCTGGCCCAGGAAGACCCCACATGCCGTGGAGCAACTAAATCCATGCACCACAACTTACTGAGCCTGCACTGTAGAGCCCGCAAGCCACAACTACTGAAGCCTGTGCGCCTAGGGCCTGTGCTCCGCATGAAGAGAAGCCACCACTGTGAGAAGCTCGCTCACCGCAACTAGAGAAAGCCCGCGCACAGCAACGAAGACCCAACACAGCCATAAGTAAACAAATTTATTAAAAAAGAGAGACAGGAATAAAAGGATGTTGATTAAGATACACAGGAATTACGGGCAGAGTTAGTGAATGACCTCTGAAGTAGCTGAAGCTCTGTAAATAGTAAGGAAAGTCAGATGTAATCATATTGGTATCTCGATGGATAAATAGGACTGATATTGCTTGTAACTGACAGGAAAAGAGTACATTTTACATTGTACATCCCAATGTGACAGCAGTCTCCACATATTCAAGTGTTTTGTGGGAAAGCGGGGCTTAATACATGGAATTTCACTTTCTATAAAAAGGTGTTAAATCATAATTGCTCTTTCTTTGAAGGTGCTAGAGGCCAATAGTCTCTTAAGATTCTTTTTGTACATAAGTATCCTTAAATCTTGGCTATCTTTGTTGAGCTGTATAGTCTTGTAGGCTTGACCAGAGATTGCTTCTCAATTTGTGAATTAAGAAATAAGATCCAAAAAGGTCATGACTTTTTCATGGCCTTAGATAAAACCTTTCTTACTTTCATGTTCAGAGGGTGTGTGTGTGTGTGTGTGTGTGTGTGTGTGTGTGTGTGTCCTGGTATAGACTGTGCACTGAGTCACAGTGAGCCATTATATATACACACACACACATATATATAGAAGGACCCAAATCCCAGAAATTGCTTACCTATGACTTGGGTTCTTTGCTGTGAATAAATTTCCCTACTCCAGGGGAGGACACTGGAAGATGGCAATTGTTTCTGTAGAATACATAAATTAACCTGTTGTTAAAAGTAGGTAAGTCAGTGAGGTTGCTTTTTTCCCCTTCTATACTTTTACTTTCTGGTTGATGGAGTTCACTTCCATCAATCGATTATATTTTAGCCTTCTAAATTGAGTCAGTAAATCAGTTAAACAAGTAACGGATCTGTAAGTTACATTTAAGTCAGTGCAGTTAACTGAAACACCATCCTCTAAGTAACCTCTTCATTTCATTTTATCATTCCCTGGGAGAGCCTCCCGGTAACTTTAAAAAAGTGTACTCTGCATAGCCTCTTATGTATAGCTATTTGTTTAAGCTTTTACCAGACTAGCACTGCCTTATCTTGTTCACCATTTGCAGTTCACTTTTTAGGTTAACCTTTTTTGAATAAATAATAATTTATTGAGTTAATCAAGTAAAAGTTACCTCCACTGCCCATCTCCTTTGCCCGTCTCTCTGATCTAAATTGATATCATGGCCTTATGGCCATCAACCTTAGTGACTGTATAGGTAGTGGGCAATGTGAAGCCTCTCCCGAACTTTGTTACAGTAACTCTAGTGTATTTTGACCTTTCTCTGACATTGATGTGTGTAATTGGTACCTTTTTTTTTTTTTCCCACTTTGGTTATATGTAGGTGACAAAAATGGTAGGTGAATATGTACTTTATAAATGTGATGGGAAATTGGGGTAAATGACAAAGTCTCACTGTAGAAAATCTGGAAATTGGGCCAAAAAAGAAGGAAACACAAGAATCCCCAAACCCAGAAACAATCCCTAATAGTATTTTTGTCATTAACCATTTGAACAAAATTATTTTGTACATAATTATTTTATTCAGAGGGTAAGTTAGTATCTTCCCACAGCTTAAATCAGTTGTTACAGTATTTAAATGTGTAAAATTTCCACATTTTTATTATTTTATAAAATTTTACTAGGTGAGTCTACTGTTCTTAAACCTTCCCCATCATTCAAAATAAAAATACTGTTTCTTTGCTTCATTACTTTTTTAAATTAAAAAAAAATCTATAAATTTATTTATTTACTTTTGGCTGTGTTGGGTCTTCGTTGCTGCGCGTGGGCAGGCTTTCTCTAGTTGCAGCGATCGGGGGCTACCCTTCGTTGCGGTGCACGGGCTTCTCATTTCGGTGGCTTCTGTTGCAGAGCATGGGCTCTAGGCGTGCAGGCTTCAGTAGTCGTGGCACACAGGCTCAGGAGTTGCAGCTCACGGGCTCTAGACTGCAGGCTCAGTAGTTGCGGCACATGGGCTTAGTTGCTCCGCGGCATGTGGCATCTTCCCGGGCCAGGGCTGGAACCTGTGTCCCCTGCATTGGCAGGCAGATTCTTAACCACTGTGCCACCAGGGAAGTCCCCTGCTTCATTACTTTAAATGTAGCAAATGAGAGTTCTTTTTGTTTTTTAATAATTTACTTATTTTTGGCTGTGTTGGGTCTTCGTTGCTGCGCACGGGCTTTCTCTAGTTTGTGGCATGTGAGCCTGTCAGTGGCTTCTCTTGTTGCGGAGCACAGGCTCTAGGCACGTGGGCTTCAGTAGTTGCCCCTCATGGGCTCTAGAGTGCAGGCTCAGTAGTTGTGGCGCACGGGCTTAGTTGCTCCGTGGCATGTGGGATCTTCCTGGGCCAGGGCTCGAACCTGTGTCCCCTGCATTGGCAGGTGGATTCTTAACCACTGTGCCACCAAGGAAGTCCTGAGAGTCCTTTTATGCATTAGAATTTGTTCATCTATTTGGAGGTTTTTCGGTTTGGGGGAAACTAATGGCACCTGAAATGACAGTATCTGATTCTACTTTGTGGATTAACTTTTTTTTTTTTTTTAATGATTTGGTTTGATTGTAGGTGGTACAGAATTCAAGGTAGAACAAAGGTTGAAGAGCAGACTGGCAGGATTCTGGGATGGGTTTACTTTGACCTCACAGCTAAGGTAGAAGTGGCTAAGGATGAACTGAAGAGATGAGCCACTGTATGAACATTTAAGAAAAGAAATGTTCCACAGGCTCCAGGACAGCACTTCATTCTAGCTAGAGGTGGCAACAGATGTTATGGAAGAGAATTCAGGTGTTTAAACAGCAGTGGAAGTAAGGGTCACCATCACCTGAGGCATAAAGAACAGCTTAGTTTTTGCCAGAGTTCCTAATTCCACCTGTGGCCAGGGGACCCTTCCCCTTGGCCTTCAGTTTTACCTCCAGCTTCTTCTGCTCCTTTTTTTGTTACTACTTGAAAGCCTTATCGTCCTCTTCCATCTCCTTGGCCTGCCTCTTGGGCTGCTTCAAGGGCTTCTTGCCACTGTGCCTTCCCCAGACCCTGCCACTGGAAGCAGTTAATTATTTTTGAAAGGAGTTAGGAATTATATAAAAATGTAAACACATTTTTTTTAATATCGAATGAGAGTTGCAAGACAGTTGAAAAAGAGAAATGGGGAACCTAGTAGAGCATTATGTAAAAAAGTTGAGTTGGGAGTCACTAGAATTGTAGAGTTTTATCTGTAGGCTCCATTATGGCTGGTATCTGTTTTTTATTAAAAACAGCATCACAATTGTAATGATTATGGTGGGCTATCTTTGTGAAATTTTTTGTTTAAAGGAAACCTACTTTGAGGGAATTCCCTGGCAGTCCAGTGGTTAGGACTCCATGCTGTCACTGCCTAGGGTGTGGGTTCGATCTCTGGTCAGGGACCTAAGATCCTGCAAGCCACGTGGTGTAGCCAAAAAGAAAAAGAAAAAGAAACCTACGTTGAAATTTATTTGTTAACAGGAATTTAAACTGCATCCTGATTTACCCAGTAGATACACACATGTATATAGTATATAGATATGTATTTAAACAAGTAATATTCAGATTTTCTTTTTTTCTCTTCCCTTTTCTCCAATTCCTAATGTTATAATTTTTACTATTTGAGGGACTATAAACATATAAATCATTTACTTTAAATGATGAAAGGTTGTGTTTCTATTTTTATTTTGTACTTGATTTCCTTGACATTATCTTTGAGTTTTTGGTCTTAGAGATGTTTTATCATAGCACCTAACCTATTCTGTTCCCTGTTTGCTTGTCTATATTCCATGACAGACTGTATACTCCTGAGGGCTAGAGTCTTGTTCACTAGGTTATCCCATTTACTGTAAACAGTGCCTGGCATGTAATTAGGTAATTAATAGCAAGAAAGTTTAGAAAAACATACATCAAATGTGAAAAACCATTATCTGAGTGTTGAGGTTATTGCTGATTTTCAATCATAATCATTATCATTTTGAAAACAGTGAAATTAATCCCTAGAAGGAGAGAGTACAAAGAAGACAAAAATCAGTACTGTCTGTGATAAATGTAATCACCAAGTCCTGATTTGTGCCCTCTGCCTAGTTTTCAAAAATAAACTGTTGGAATCCAAGAATGTAGGAGATAATGGTCCCCAAAGGAAAAAGGTACTATGCATGGGAAGACTTTATTACGGTGCCCCTAGGCTGAGACAGCGCTGGACTCTTGGGAATTAGAAAGAGAACTATGCTACCTCCCCCTGTATTGAAGGATAGGGAGATCAAGAAGTAGAGACAAGGGGAGATGGCAGATGTTGGAGATTATCAGTACTTGTTTGGAATTTATTATTTTGCTGTTGTAGTTACTTTTTAATAACTGATATTTTCTTTATTCTCATTTGAATGGCTGAGAGGATTTACTTCATGGAATTTAACAAAGATGACTTTTAATAGTTATTATTCTTATGTTTGCTCCCTTAGCATTTGACATTGTGCAGCAAAGAAATGGTTATGGAGAAGCCCAGTCCGCTGCTTGTAGGGCGGGAGTTTGTGAGGCAGTATTATACTTTGCTGAATAAAGCTCCAGAATATTTACACAGGTAAATTTTAATTGCATATTTGGTATTTTTATTTGGTTTTATTGTTTTGAATATGACTACGTATAAATTTTGTCTTTCCTGTTTTATGTCCTGACAGTACCTTTGCAAAGCACGCCCAGTATTTTAACAGTCTGATGGCTTAAAACCAGTCTTTTTCAAGTTTTTTTGACTCAGATCTATAGTAAGAAAAACACCTCACATTATATCCCATTATATAACACATTCACATCTGTACACATCACATACATATACACAATTACATACTCTTGGTATTTTATATTTTGTTTTTTTATAAAAACCACATACTTGACCAACTAATGGGTTCTAGTATTTATTGAAATCACAGGTTTAAGTTTGTTTTTTGTTTTTTGGGTTTTTTTGAGTTGTTTTTAGCAATGTTAGGAAATGAATCAGTTAAGTCATCATACTTGTGAAAATTACTTCTGATTGATCCACAAGATAGTATTCCGTGGTAAAACAGCAACAGTAGCCTTGTTTACTATTTTGGCAAGAGTTGGACATCTGTAAGGTTCTTTTTTCCCAGAGATTGAAATAAAATTGATTTATATTATGAGTCATATTTATAATTTTCGTTCTACCTGGCTTATTTTAACAGGTGGAAGATAAGTGAGACCTTTGTAAGTATTAGGCTCTGCAAACATTTGTTGTAGAACACACTAGCCAAGTGAGTTAAGGATAAATATACCATTGTCACTTCATGTGGGAAAGACTGTTAAAAGGACTTATTCTTTTATCTATAGGTTCTCTTTATAACCATGCTGGGCATTCTACAGTTTTACTTTGCATTATGCCCCTCCATTGTTAAACCTCTGTGTAACACTCCCTATGTTATCCCAGGGGGCATTTTTATATAACTACCACCTCCCGTCCCCGCCCCCCCTCCCCCACCCAATCAAAAGGAATACCTGTACATTTTCTATTATAAAAATAAACATTCTTATTGACAGGGTATGTGAATTTGAGGGAGAATGGAATTAATAAGGCCTTTTATTATCTGAAATTTAGTCTTCACAATGTAGACATTAGCATTTTTAGCTTTCTTTTTTTTTAACAAGGAAAAACAAGGCTCTCTACCATCATTTCAAATAACAGCACAAACTTCTGTTTTATACTTAGCTATGTAACAGATTTCCCTGTTAATGAACATTTAGTTTGTTTTTAATTTTTCACTTATTAACACTAATGAATATCCTTACACACGCATTTTTGTGCACCTTTCTAGTTATTTTCTTAGGCTAAGTTCCTAGAAGTAGAATTGTTAAGTCAAAGGTATGACTATCTCTAAGGCTTTTCTTATACACACTTACAGCCAAATTGTCCTCCAGAAAAAATGATAGCTGTTTACATGCTTGCCAGTAGTACATGAGAGAAAATAATATAAACTTAAAAATATGGGTAATGGTTAAAAGCATGGACTCTGGAGCCAGCTGCCCCAACTTGATAGGTGTGTGACCTTTGAGGAGTTAATTTAACCTCTTTTGAACTTCAGTTTGTTCATTTAGATAATAGCACTTACTCCTGAGGTGTTAGGAGAGTAAAATGAATCAGTATGTATGTAGTGCACTGAGAACATTGCTTGGCATGGAGGAAGTCTTACATGTTTTATTACAATAGGAGCTGAGTTCCCTTTACAAAAAAATTAACTTTGCATGTTGCTAACCTTAATTTAGGAAGATAACTAATTCTAATTACTTTAGGTAATACCAGAGAAACACTAATTTGTCATGTAGTTAAGAGCTGTATAAAAATATAATTGAGAAATTAGATGCCGAAATAATGTAGATTTTTTTTTAACTTAGTCTCTGAATTATTTCAGTTAATTTAAATCTAAACTTTTAACCTAAGCCTTTGGAATTAGTAATCATTTGGAACTCTCAGTAGAATGAATGTTAAACAGTATCTGATTCCCAAACAAATTTAGATAATTGAGTTTTTGTATATGATGGGGAAAAAATGGGTAAATTAACTACAGCATCAGTGTTTAGAATATATTTTGAATATCTCATTTTTCCACTTAACAAAATATAGATATGGTAAGAATTAGATGAGAATAGCTAATGACTGAGTGTATATTTAGTGTGCCAGGCACACTAAGAATTCTGTGTCATTACTCATTTAATCCTTACAACAACTCTATGGAGAAGTTACTCTTGTTCTGTTTTATAACCAAGGAAACTGAACTTTGAGGACTGTAAGTCTCAAGATTACATAGCTAATGAGTGAGAACCAGACCTGGAAACATGTCTGTTTGACATGAGAACTCTACTGCCTCTTACACTTCTCTTCACAACTGAATGTCAATCATTATCAATGGTTTTACAGGTTTTATGGCAGGAATTCTTCTTATGTTCATGGTGGAGTAGATGCTAGTGGAAAGCCCCAGGAGGCAGTTTATGGCCAAAATGTAAGTATCAATTTCATATGCATTTTAGATTTCTTTAGTTTTTTTTTTTTTTTTTTGAGGTAAGATAGAGATTTAGAAAATAGTTTCTTGTGCCCATGGATTTCTTTTTGAATGTAATCAGCTATACTAGAATTATGTTACAGTAGTCATTGGATGTGCTTCGAGTTCTTAAACATCGATTTTGTACGAAGCACGGGTATCACACTGGCATGGATACAAAAGAGAAAATGGAACATTTTAGTATCCTTGGTGTATTTTATACATGAAATAGTTGAGACAATGTATAGCATTTATAGAAATGTGGTCTAAACCTTATGTCACAGGAGTGCATAGGAGTATATACTCCTTATGACTTTGTAGAGGATGTGGGACTTCCAGCAGACTCTGAATGATAGGTTTTGGCCTTACCAAACAAGAGGAAATTGAAAGTAGGAGAAATGGCATCAGCAGACAAGCAGTAAAGTTAGGTGCGAGGTCAAGGAGTAGTCTACACAGTTTACGTGAATGACTAGTACTTAATATGGAACGGTGGGAGAAAGCTGCACAAAGCCTATAATATGAGACAGCCATTGTGATTTCTTGTATAGAGAGGTGACATGTTGAAACTAGTGGTTCTAGGAACATTAGTCTGTCAGTAATGCCTAGCATGGTGGAATGGATTCAAATGAGGCAGTTAATATTCTAGAGTTGCGAGGAAATCAAAGTCTGTAGTATTGAATAGGTAATGCAGTATCATGAGTTTGTACTTCCACCCCACCTTCTTCTCCTAATAAAGGATATACACCACAAAGTATTATCTCTGAACTTCAGCGAATGTCATACTAAAATTCGTCATGTGGATGCTCATGCAACCTTGAGTGATGGAGTAGTGGTCCAGGTCATGGGTTTGCTGTCTAATAGTGGACAGCCAGAGAGGAAGTTTATGCAAACCTTTGTTCTGGCTCCTGAAGTAAGTTTTCATTTCAATTAATTTTCACTTACGTGATTTCATTTTACTGTTACTAGTTGCTTAAAGTGGCCAGAGTTTCTTCTTGCAGGCATAGGTATGCATGTAACATATTTTGAGAAATATGACCTGTTGATTAATTTATTTGAGCTTTGTGAAGTAAAAACGAGATCCTGATACTAATGTGTAAATAGATGATTAAGATTATAGAAATAATATTAAAAGTATGTTATTATTTAATAGGTTACATATTAAACAAAATGGAAAAATTCTGTTTGAAATGGAAAAATTCTGTTTTTTAATTGGTCCTGGTTCTTTTATATTGAGTAGCCATTTCTTGAGTTTCAGTATTCCTTGAGTGATCTTCTGTAATTTACTTTATATTAACATCAGAGTATGTTCAACTTTGGAAAATTATCTTCAGTCTATATCATTTCTGTATTATTAAAATAGAAATTGTGTTTATTTGTTCTTTTTATGTAATACCACATTTATGGGTATTTATGGAATATTTGGATGTTGTTTTCCTATAGGGATCTGTTCCAAATAAGTTTTATGTTCACAATGATATGTTTCGTTATGAAGATGAAGTATTTGGTGATTCTGAGCCAGAACTTGATGAAGGTGAGGTTACTTTGAAGATACAAGGGTTTTGTCAGTATCAGTACTAAGGACATGGAAAGTGTGAAACTAAAGAAATTTGCCGCTGTCGTAACTGAGTCAAACTCCCTTTTCCCCTTTTTGTTCTTGTTATAAAAGAAAGTTCATTATATGAAATTATATAAAAATCATACATAAGAAGTGAAAATTTTCCCTCAATTCCATCCTCTATAGATAACCAAGAGTTTGGTGCCTATTATAGAATTTTGTTGTATTCCGTACTGACCAAGTACTTTTATAAAAGTGGAAGTACTCTGGCTCAATGCTTGCTTTTTTTCACTTAATGTATCTTTGTTGGCTGGGGTTTTTGTTTTTGTTTTTGTTTTGCCTGTACCATAATTATTTAATTGATCTTCCGTTTCATCTTGTTTACTTTTCTTTACCATTATTCCTCCATTGAATCGATGTGGCGAAGGAAACTGAGTTATGACTTTAATAGCATTGTTTCCTACCCTTCCCTGTTACTAATAGACCTTTCTAAAAAATAGAGTAAATTCCAAAATTCTTCTGGCTTGCTCTTCAGTTTAAGAGAACAAGGAATATTGCAGTTAAGTGCCTTTGTAAGAAATATCATGACTTCTTTAAACATTAAAAATATGTATATCAAATTGTGTATTAAATCCTCGTAAGACGAGATATGGTATATTTTGTATTTTCAGAATCAGAAGATGAAGTAGAAGAGGAACAAGAAGAAAGGCAACCATCTCCAGAACCTGTGCAAGAAAATGCTAGCAGTGGTTACTATGAAGCTCACCCTGTGACGTAAGAATAGTGTCTGCAAGGCCAAATTTGGTCTAAACTATAATGTAGTTGCAAGCTGGTTTTTGTTCCTAGAATTATTGTTGAAAGTAAATTTTGCTAAAGCTGTGAAACCAGCATTTGAGAATTTACTGTGTATATGCCAAGTAAATTCTATATGGAAAGCATTGTTTTATTTAATTCAAAAATTGAATTTGGTTTGGCCCAAAACTGATCATTTGCTAATAATGCATTGTGTTTGGGACAACACAGAGTAATAAGCATTTTATTTTTTGAATAGGCGGTTGGTTTATAGTTAGTATTAAAGTAAACATTTTTAGTAATCCAGTTTTTAAATTATGTTAAAGAAATGCTGTTTGAGAGTATTATTCCCTCTGCCTTCTAGTTCTTAATGGACTTTTGCTTCCAAACAGCTTATTACTAGTTATGCCCATTAAATTAGAGAAATGCAGAATTTTATTTGAATTGATCATTTCACTCATACTGAAAAGTGAACAAAATACTTTATTGTAGTAACGGCATAGAGGAGCCACTGGAAGAATCGTCTCACGAACCTGAACCTGAGCCAGAATCTGAAACAAAGACCGAAGAGCAGAAACCGCAAGCCGAGGAGAAGAACTTGGAGGACGTAGAGGAGAAGCCCGCTTCTCCTCCCCCCGCTGAGCCTGTGTCGCTGCCACAGGAACCACCCAAGGTTAGAGCAGAGGAGCTCTTCACGCCTGCGACGTCACACTTTCTTCTTTGGTGCCATGAATGAAGCATGACCTCTGTTCTGTTAATTAAATTGTTTCACAGTAAGCTGTGCTGTTTTTATGTATATGAAAGAAGCTGTGGGGATTTTTTTGGTAATTCTGAGGAAATTTTATTGCATTTTCACCCCCTAAACACCACCCCTCAGGGTAAAATTTAAGATTAATCCTTGTCTGTGTGCAGTGTTTAGTATCTTCTAGTCCATGTACTAAAGCTGAGAGTTGCTCTTCCATTCTGTATTAAGTCCTCTATGCACGGATGCAACAGGAGTCATGCAATTTGCCAACTTAAAAACAAGTTGGCCTATTGCTAAGAGAAGTGATACAAGTTATTTCTTGTTTAAATGAAATTTAAACAATTTCCTTACTACACCAATTAAACTATCTTGGAAACATGAGTGACACCCATAGTGTATCATTTAAACCTACCTAAAGCACCTTTTATCTTTCTGTAAAGTAGAAGGTTAAAGTATATTTGCGTAGTGAGAGAAGGAGATTCCTTGTTCAGTTTGTGAATGTCTGTTAAACTCTCCAGCTAGTACTTTCTTCTTTCCTATCCTTCCCCTCTCCCCTTGACACCATCACAGCACCTTATCTTCCCCCAAAGGGGAGAGAAATTGGTTCTATTAGGTTCTTATTTTTCTAGCATGTGTAGTTGTTAGTGGTTTTGTTTGCCACTTGCTCATCTCTTTAGAGCATATAGGAACTTGCTTGTGGATTTATTTAGTAGTTCAGACAAAACAGTCAAATAATCTTGCATAATGAGATTTTGAAAGCTGGCACATAGACTGGCATGTGTGTGTGTGCCTTTCTTTTAGGAGTCCTCCAATATAGAACAATAGTTTAGAAATGAAAAGAAAATATATATTTGGAAGTTTCCCTATAGGAATGTTGGTGGTTTTCCATGATTAGTAGTCTAGGTTTGTTGCATTTCCTGCAGGCTTTCTCCTGGGCTTCAGTGACCAGTAAAAACCTGCCTCCTAGTGGTACTGTTTCTTCCTCTGGAATTCCACCCCATGTGAAAGCACCAGTCTCACAGGTAACCAATCTGTGAACACATTGGATTGTATCCTTGTTACATTGCCAATTGCTTATCTTTTTTATACTTTTTTAAATGAGTCAATCAGAAATTATGGATTAAATATACAAAAAAAATTGTATTAAATGTCAGTGCACCCACTTTAATTGCCAAATCTCCATTCATCATCTACATAGGTGGTATTTGGGGTTTGGGTGTGTCAAATACAGATTAAGTTAGTTTTACCAATATATATTGTCATTTAACAGCCTTCTTAAAATATCCAAAAAAATATCCTTTTTAAAAATTTAGAATTTTATTTAGCAAAAATATTTTAGGGAAGAAATTTGGAAAGGCACAAAGTAGTATGGCATTATAAAGAATCATTGTTTTTTAAAAATAGAAAAAACTCTTAAAAAAATACACTGCCTAAGCTTTCAGTCTGTAAGTGGTTCATACCGTTTAATTGAAGCCTGTACCAACTTATGACTGTAGTGTTCACCTTAACTGATCATTCTGGTATTCTGCTTTTTGTCTGTTTGTCATCTTACCCATTTCAGAGCTTTCAAAAACATTGAAAATAAGACACTAGCTACCTAATAATAAGTTTATTAGGTGTAGTGTAGAATTAACTAAATTCTAAAGTTAATAGGCAAAGTTAAAGGGTGTCTAATACTTTCCCCTACATTTTGAATCAAACTTCGTTCCACTAGAAAATTTACATTTAGAATGGTTAGTGCACATAAAATTGTGTTTATATACCTCTTTATATGCTCTAAACAGTGAAACTTTGAGATTTCAAAAGTAGCTAGTAATAGACAGCCTTTCTGGTGTTATATGCATAATCAGCTACGTAATAGAATACATGACCTCGTGATACCTTTTTTTTTTTTCAGCTAGATATTCAGGTAATATTGAGTAATTACCTCAGATCACAAACTAGAATTCTGTCTTAATGCAGAAGATTAATTTGCCAGGTATTGACTGCTTTTCTACCCATCTGAAGACTCAATAAGTTACTTACGGATTTTTTTTTTTGAAATGCTTGATTTCTTATCAGATTTGCATTAGGAATCCTTTGGATTGTTACTTAATTTCAGAGAGTTGGCTACATTTATTTTAAACTCACTACTAGTTAAAAGTTAGAGTAGCTTATACCTCTTACACCTTTAGTGTGGCACCAGGCATTGTGCAAAGCACTAGCACGTAATATTTATTCTTATCTAATCCTCACAACCACCCTGTGAGTATGGTTACTGTTATTATTCCTGTTTTACAGATAAGTAAATTAAGGGCTAGAGAACTTCACCCAAGGTCAGATAGCTATGTAAATAAAAACGTAGGGCTTCGAATTTATGCAGTTGGACACTCATGGAAGCCTATAGGTTTCTTTAGCCCTTGGAGGGGAATGTATCTCTATTTACATCAAAGAAGAGTGCTATGTCTAAGCCATGTCTAAATTACATTATATTAGATCCTAACCTCTTGCCCAGGGGGGAAAAATTTTTTAAGTTTTTAAAAAAAATTGTAAGAGACTGTGATTCCCAGCCTATACCCCCTTATTAAAACAAAATTTTAAACATTTATAATTTAAACCTTAAAAGAACTTTCTGGTCTCCTTAAGCTATGTTAGAATGGATTCATGATTTTTTTCCACTTGATTTAATAAACCCTTCGATTTTATTTTGTCACTTTGGTGTAGTATCCATTTCCTTAACACTTTTAGCATAGATTATTAATAAAAGGAGAATTAAATCTAATTCCAGGGTATTGGCAGGCATTAATTTAGAAGTAGGTAAGTTAATTTCTTGGTAAATTTCTTAGAAGTCGATTAGTTCATTTAAATAGCTTATGGGCTGTTGAAGTACATATTAGTTGTGGTTTTACCTGCTATTGAGTTGATTTGATGGTTTCATGTTTATTTCATATTCTGTTTGATTTTCATTTGTGGAATTTGTCATGTGAGCACACTTTTTGGTTGCATGGAATTAATTGTAAGGCCCTAAAGTAGTATGTGGTATCTTAGTTATTTTTACCTCCTTGGAGCAAATAGTTTTCATGAAATTGAGCCTGAAGAATTGTAAGTGTACAGCTGGCTTAGTTGACATACAGTAATCAGTTACTGAAAGAAATTTTGATAATTTTTTTTTTTGGTCTCATTTTTCCTATATTGGCATCATCTAATATCTCAAAGTCAGGTTGCTAAATTAATGTGTGATTTATTTGTAAGATGTTGGCACTTACTTAAATTTGTGTTTTTTAATTTTAAATCCTTAAAGGATAATGAAGAACTTTTTTGTTACTTGCAGTTATTTTTGTTTCAGTAATCCGTTTTGAAAAGAATCTGAATTGGTCAGCCAGAATTCTTTTTCTTGGTTTGAATGAGTCGAGGTTTTTCTGAGACATTTAAATTAAAAGGTGTACATTTGCTATTTTTATTAATTTATTAAACATACTAGCTTCGTCAGACTTTGGTAGAGAATATCCTTTAATTCTGTTTTACTTTCATACTGAAGTAAGTTTTGCTTTTAGGCCCTGCCCCGCTTAGCTGAAATTTCTAAATAACTACCTTTTTCAGGCATCACATTTTCGGTCAAATTATTATGTAGTCTTAAATTCTAAATACAGATACAAGTGGTCTCAGGGCTGTAACTTAGGTCCCCTGGTCAGGCGTAGAACATTCTCCTACATGTTTTGTGTTAGAGAACTAAAAATGTAATTTAATTTTAAATGAACCAATAGTTACTGAACATCTATGTCTAATGGCACTGTGCTTGGTTCTTTATCTGGTGTAGAAATAAATTAAGATATGGTCATTGTAGGAATAAATACATACTAAAAACCTGGGGAAATTAAACATTAAAAAAATTTTTTAACTAGCAAAATTCTAGAACATGGAAAGCAACTTCATTTTGAGGGAAATGGGAAATCTATATGGAGGATAAACAATTGGGGGAGACAGGCAAATCTGTTAAAAACTGCTAGGGTAGGAGATAATATATACCTTTTGGTTACAGTGGGTGAAATTATAACAAATGGTTGTTTTTGAAAGAAACATTCTCTCTTTGTATCAAAATGTGTCCTTGCAAATTATAATATCCCAGCTATATAAATTATGAAAGAGTTTGAGCCACTGCCTGGGCTGAGGTACTCAGAGATGATCAGCCATAAAGATAGGAATGAAATTACTAGCTTTCTGGTTTGAGGATACATTCTTCATATTCCTGCTGAGGGTTTTATGCTTTGCAGGTACATGTGTTTTGTCTCTTCCTCGGACCATAAATATTTAGGCAATAGACACAGCCTGCAGAGGTTGGGAATACTGAAAATGCCAATGTATTAAGGAAAAGGTAATAGTAGATGCAGATGTCATTTTGTTTTTAGCATAGTTACTTTAAATATATGTGTTCAATTTAGCAGTTAGCAGAAACTTTTGGAGGGTACCTTAAAATGAAGTCTTACTTCCCCTGCCACCCCCAAGAATTAATTAAGAAATATTGTTGGGGTCAGTCCTTAAATAAATGCACACTTCCCCCATTAGGAAGAACAATAGGGAGCTGAAGGACTTTTGACTATTTGAGATGCTATCAACACATTCCTATCTTGGTTTTTTTAATGTGCATTTTAACTTAAAGATAGTATTTTTAGATGGTAGAGTACACTAAATTGTATATTTTGAACTATCAAAATATGGATTTTTTAAAAAAGAATTATGGGATGGGGTTTAGAAGATATTGCTGAGCACTATTAAATTTGAAGAGCAGCATACTAGAGAATTAGAAAGGATGTGTCATATATTCTTGTCTTCCTAAGATAAAGATGGCTTTTTATTTTGTGTATGTATTTACATGGAGTGGCTCATCTTGCATTTTTGAATTTTGTAGCGATACTTTTTATGCTATCTCAATGTGGATGTAACTTTATTGAAAAAATATGGTTGTAAATAAAAAGCAGCTTATTGTGAGTTATAGCCTTGAGTGAGAAAATAAAATTTACCCTACAGTCCTAGATTGGTACAGAATATCTTTATAAAAATTTATGTTTCACATATATAGGACAGTATGTTAAAAATATTCTGAACTTAAAATGACCATTATGCCTCGGTTGTTTCTTTAGTTGTTTTTCTCCTGTGGAATGTTTTTCTTTATAATGTGTTTTTTCCCTTGTATTTTAGCCGAGAGTGGAAGCTAAACCAGAAGTTCAGTCTCAGCCACCTCGTGTGCGTGAACAGCGACCTAGAGAACGACCTGGTTTCCCTCCTAGAGGACCAAGACCAGGTGAGTCAGCCCCTTCTGTGGCCTTCAGCACTTAAGCACTTGAAAAGTTGAAGACCAAACTTTAAAAAATTTTTTAAAAATATAATGTGTTTTATATGCAAATCCTTTTAGTACCAAACTGCTTAAAGGCTTAAGTAACCTGCTAAATATAGCCTGGGCAAAACAACTTTGAGGGGAAGATTAGTTGACATGCCATAGAGACATGTATTTTGAAGGTGTAAAAGAATTTAGAGACACATTTTATTTGGTTATTGTCACTGGTTCTAAGAATTCAAAACCAAGCTGCCAGTAACCTACTCTCTTACTTAGCACTCTTATCTCTTCACAGATAAACAATAAGCACACCCTGGTTCTTCTTATTTTGATTGTCTTAGGTATTAAGTAAGTTGTCATGATTTTTGACTTGTTTCCATTGTTAGCTAAGATATGTAGAACCTCTGTTTGAATTCTATAAGTATGTTTAGATTGCTTTTGGGAGGAGGTGGGAGATGTATACATCAAATTTAGAAAATGTAATTTTTTCCCACAAAAGTAAAATAAGTGATGTGCTATTATTAAGAAGTCATGAGAGCTGGGGTTTATCCTAGCTTTGTCAGTGATTGAGTTTATGATCTCGGGTGAGATCCTTAAATCATGAGCTTCTCTTAAACCATTCAGTTACTACACACATTTTTCCTGTGTGATGCCTTTCTTTATGTGCCTCATTGTGTTCCTTGTGTCATTGGGAGGATCAAATAAGATTTTATATATCTAAATATAAGAGCACTCTTATGTGTATAAAAGGCTATATAAATGAGATGTTATTGCTATTAAATTTATGGATTTGGCTATAATTTCATACAACCAAAGATTAATTGGTGAATTTCAAAATAATAAACAATTATTTAGTACAAGTATACCTCACTATCTGAAATCTATTTGGTTTCTGGGTGATGGCAGGAGTTTGGTTAAGGAGGAATACTTGTACTGCTAGTATTTGGCTTTCATATCATCAGACCAGTAGACCTAGAAGAAGGGACTTCAGCAATCTAGTCAGTGTCATGTTTTTTTCTAACTAACCTACTAATAATAGGCATTTCCACCTCTGTTGAAGGAGCTTATCTTATTAAACAAACTAAAACAGGAATATCAAGTTTTTTGTTTTTTTTTTACATTCATTGCTTTGAGCTACTTTTTGTATGACATTGTAAACTTTAATATCTGCTCTATTCCTTTTCTCAGGCAGAGGAGATATTGAACAGAATGAAGCTGATAACCGTAGAATAATTCGCTATCCAGATAGTCATCAACTCTTTGTTGGTAACTTGCCACATGATATTGATGAAAATGAACTGAAAGAGTTCTTCATGAGTAAGTAGTTTACTTTGCTTTATTGTAAAATTAAGCAGGAGGAGAAGAGAACTCTTTACATAGAGTATTGAGGATTTTGTAAAAAAAAAACATTCACCTCTCTGTACTATGTATATCTCTAGGTACTAATCACCTTGATCAGAAGGGTGTAGAAGGTTGTACCAGATGTTTCTCAGTGACTGTACTGAGTGTTGACTGGCCTGGTTCTGTAGAGGTTAGAAGAAAGAGCTGGATGAATCAGTCTTAGATTTGGAAATGGGATTCATTTGGCAAATTCAAGTCAGAAATAGAAAATAACATTATCTCTCTGAAACTGTGTAGGTAACTTCCCTTTAGAAAGGAGTAATAAAGATGCAGAAGGATGACAAAACAAGCTAGTTTTTATTGGCATCTTAAGTGAATGCCCTGTAAGAGTGAATGTACCTTAATTGTCACTGGGTATAGCAGCTTGCAACTTTTGTTTTGAAATGGATCAAGGAGATTAAGGTATTTCATCCTGAACAATTAAAGTCACAAAATATTCTGTTAAACTATTTAACCCTTGGTGTAATGTATATTTTCACAGGTTTTGGAAACGTTGTGGAACTTCGCATCAATACCAAGGGTGTTGGGGGAAAGCTTCCAAATTTTGGTTTTGTGGTTTTTGATGACTCTGAACCAGTTCAGAGAATCTTAATTGCAAAAGTAAGTGACTTAAAGGGTGTAATTCAATACTTTATTATTCCTGTTGCATTTAGTATTACTTAGAAAGTCTTATTTTAAATGGTAAAGTTAAAAATAGTTTACTATGAAATGGTATTTATGCAAAGAATAAAGATTTGTTAGTAGTTTTAAAGTCTGAAGTATGGATTGTTTTAAATTTATTTCATTATTTGCTCTGGTAATGAAGGTTGGAATAGGTTGCATATTGAGAATTTCATGAAAAGTTTTTTTGTCTCCCTGGATTTTCTTACTTATTTATGATACTACATTACTATTACTGTCTAACCTGCCCATGTAAAATTTTTTCTTCCCTTGTAAAGCCAATTATGTTTCGAGGGGAAGTGCGTTTAAATGTGGAAGAGAAAAAGACAAGAGCTGCCAGAGAGCGAGAAACTCGAGGTGGTGGTGATGATCGCAGGGATATTAGGCGCAATGATCGAGGTCCTGGTGGTCCCCGTGGAATAGTGGGCGGTGGAATGATGCGGGACCGGGATGGAAGAGGACCCCCTCCAAGAGGTGGCATGGCACAGAAACTTGGCTCTGGGAGAGGAACCGGGCAGATGGAAGGCCGCTTCACAGGACAGCGTCGCTGAGGCTCCACTGTTGGCAAAGTTTTGGCAGTGGTACATTATTCATCGTGTTTGCATTCTTGTTAATTTTTTTTGGCTTTGGAATGTGACACAGCCTTTTTGATCATTTCTTTGATGTGAAAAGCATCTTTTGGTTATCAGTTAAATTGAGGTGGACATTATTTCCCCAGTTTTACAACAGGATTCGCATTGTTAATTTATAAATCTAGACTTGGAGAATTAAGGACTGAGAAATGACCATATCTTAAACTATCTGCAACAAAATGAACTTGAAAGGACATGCCCAACTGAATTCAGGTCCTTTGAGTCAAAAAAAATCCTCTGCTGCACATTTTGTTTAAGTGTTACTGTTTCTGCCTATTAATGTTGGAAACACAAATAGTGCAATTTGTGCAATTGGAGAATCTTGCCTTTTTCCTTGGCTCCCCCCAAAAATACAAACCAACAGAAACTTGTTATGCACTAATGGGTACTCTGAACTCATTAACTTTGACATCTGCAAAGGAGGCAACAGGGGAAAAAATCTTTCATCTTTTTTTCCAGTAGCACATAGTTGTGAAATGATGAGGGCATTTTTACCTGCTTGCTGTGACCAGCGTGTGTATACATAAACCTTAACAAGACTACAAGTATATTCCAGAAGGAAATCATTTAGTTATGAACTAAATAACAAAAATCAGAACTTCAAATGCTATGGTCTTGAATATTAGACCAGATTTAGTAGCTCCATATCTTAAGATTTTTCTACCTGCCCCTCTTCAGTACAGGGATGGCTGGCTGCTCAACACACTCCTCCTCCCCCGTTTCCTTTCTTTAAGCTGTGTACAGTGAAAATTGTCTTTACTGTATTTTGTTCTCTGGTAATGTAATAAGCATGATGGTGCCTTCTATTAATACATCATTCCAGTCTTGCTGGTAATTTTGTACAGTATAGTGTATGAATTGCTGTGCTGCAAAGCCAAACAGCTACAAAATGTTGAAAAATCATTGAAGTGTATAAAAATTGCAGTATCTTTAAAATCAGTAAAATTGACTAGCATATTATTTACCTTGTTCTTCAGTTAACAACTTTGTGTTCTCTGTGGGAGGGAGTCTTGTGTGTTTGGGAGGGAGGGGGAAGGAGGAAGTCAGTTATTTGAGTAAGTCTCTTGTTGACTTTTCTGTTAGCCTGAATGTGAACGTTGAAGCGTATCACTTGAGAGGTGCTGGAAAAGTCAATCAACTTGATGTACATTTTTAGTGACATTTTAAAAGCAGTCAGATTCCATAAATGGCAAGTAAACCTGGAGTGAGGATACTGCAATTTTCAGAGAAAAGAACAGCAGCTCTTAAGTGTTTGCATTTCTATTTGGGGGGCAGGGAACTGTCATTCATTTTGCACAATTCTTGAACTGATGTCAGCACCCGAGTGGCTCTGAATTTAAGTCTGGGACGACATCTTTTATTTTTACATGAATTTCTAAACAATTCTGTGAGCAGAGTTTGTAGCTACTGGATTATTGTCTGTCTTTATAGCAAGTTCCAGTAAACCGCAAGTATGACAAAAGGATACCCAATTTTATGCTTGGAGCATTTAGTGCCTACTAGTTTCTGGATGTTTCAGGCTAGGAGTGGGGTAAATAAGTGTGACCACTTAAAGCTGCTTGTTAGCATGGAAGACTTCTCCATTCTATCTTAGTAAAAACAAACAAAAAATGCACTTGACATAATAGCAAACTGGTTCTGAATTATGGAACTGTGTTTGCTGTTTAGTAAACTAGCAAATGATGCACATATTTTGTTTTTCATGTACTGGGCGGTATAAGTAAAATTAAATCTGTCCCTTTTTTTCCCCCTTGAATGAGGTCTTCCATGTTCGAGGAAAAGTCTTGCACTATTGCGTATATTTTGGGGACACATTTCTCAGTTTCCATTTTGGGGGGGGGGTTAAGGATTTTTTTCCTGTTTGAAATACTTTTACACTTTCTGATGTATAGTACTTGAAGTTCTTAACAGAAAATTACTTTTGAGTTTTGAAGCCTGTATTCAAACTGCTTTTAAATGAGTGGTTTCTTGTCAGTGTTTTGTTTTTTATAGCATATTTTCCCTTTCGTTTCTTTCTCCTTCCCATTTTATGTATATATATATATATATATATATATATGTGTGTGTATATATATGTGTATATATATATATATATAATTTCCAATCCAAGATATTGCCCTGCCACCCATGAAAACTTCTGGCACCAAAAGTAATGACAAATGTTAAGTGTAATAGAAAATTAAAGCAAAGAGCCATTCAGCTTCAGTCTTTACATACCATGAGTAAAACATTAAAACATCACATGGAGAAGTTTACATGGTGATTGTTCACCTGCAGTACTGTGGACTTTTAACATTTTGTCCCCTTTCAGTGAACCAGAGTAAAAGTATTCATCTATCATTACTGTTATTTGCTGTTTTTTGTTTTGTTTTTTTTCTTTTTGGATGGTAATATTCTATTCTATCCTTATGACACTATTGCAACCAAATTGGCTTTACCATCTTGGCTTTAGTAGGTATAGAAGACAATGGATTACCATCTTTATTGCTGTAATGTGTTAAGCATTATATGCTAGTAGTATCTAGTTTAATTGTTTCAGGTGGAAAGTATTCTTTGAGTTTCCATTTTGAATGTGTTTGGACTAAACAAACAATAAACTACTGATGTCTGCAGCATTTATCTATGTCCCTAATTTAATCTGTAGGTTTGTGTTCCAGAATATTTTCTCCCAATTGCATTTCACACAGCCTAAGTAAAAATAAGGAATTATTCTAAAGCCAACTATTATTTGTGAAATTTTATATATAAAATAAATCATTTAAGTAAGACTTGAACATTGTTAGAGACCTATCTCAGTTCAGTTAGATACCTGGTATACAAGATAAAGAATGTTAGAACAGAATAATAAGTGGTAAGGAAGGTGAGAATGATGTAAAGCAGAAGACTAAACTTTTTTTTTTTTTTTTTATAAAAATCTTGGGTTTTCCAAAGGATTGCTAAATCATCTCAGAAGGAAAAGAGAAAGGGGATGGGAAGACTGAGTTTATCTGAAGTTAAGGACATGCCCCAGTTCAGCAATTAGAACAGATTTGTCAAGCTCTGAAGGAATATTAAAAAGGAAAGAATAGTCATAGTTATGAATATATACTTTAAATGAGTAGTGAAGTCATAAGGCCTATGTAATTTCAGAACTTCGTTAAAAGGGATGATAAAAGTGAATTTTCATAACACTTTATGAAGATTCCTTATATCAGTCTTCACAGGTTTGTACTGAAGAAAAGCCAGAACAACCATTATTTAAATACTCCTGGGCAGTAAGACTTAAGATCTTTATAAATGTATATTAAACTCCTTTCAATGTTAATTATAATGTATAATAACATCTAATTTTATGGCTATGGAAAGAATTTTTTTCTTTGCGGTACGCGGACCTCTCACTGTTGTGGCCTCCCGTTGCGGAGCACAGGCTCCGGACATGCAGGCTCAGCGGCCATGGCTCACAGGCCCAGCCGCTCCGCAGCATGTGGGATCCTCCCGGACTGGGGCACGAACCCGTGTCCCCTGCATCAGCAGGCGGACTCCCAACCACTGCGCCACCAGGGAAGAATTTTTAGAGGGGGTAAAATGTATATGCGACACTATATTGCAAACAGAACCAGATTTGAAGGAGCAAAATATCATTTGGTCCAGGAAATGTATATGGAACAAAATATTTGGAAGTTTTAGCCCTACAAGATGCTACGTTTCAAACTGTGTTATATAGTCTTTGTATCAAGTGAATGAAAATTTAGTGGATATATGTTGATATTTTTCCTTTAAATTAGGACAGCTTGCTCTTGGTTTATATTTAACTACAGGTGAAGACTTGATTTTTTTTCATTCTATGTTCATAAGACTTTCTAATTATTAAGTCGATCAATTTAATGCCAGAATTCTAAATTATATTAAATTACTGGATACATGAATAATTTATTATGTCCTGAAAGAGATTTCCCTTCGTGATGGATTTCAGTGGGTTCATATAGTGATTGTTTAAAAAAATTTTGCATAATTAAGTCAGAATTCCTAAGTAATGAAGTTTCTGGGTATTTTTGACAAAGACTGAAATCTTCCAATCTATGTAGTATATAAACACCTTATACTTCAGAATTAATAGGAAATAAAGTCTGTTTTTAGCATTACCAAATACTGGGCAAAATACTATAAATGTGGGTTTAGGATTAAACATTCACAGAAAGATTACTACTCTTGTCCTTGATCTCCTAAGAGTTTTGATAAAGCTGATTGCCTACTTGGAATGCTTTGTTTTGTGGCATTAGTAATATTCTTTTAACTGTTCCTGTTTTCTGTACTCTTTATCACCCCATAACCACCATTATCCCCCCAACACACACACATATCTCTTCTGTCCTCGGTCTCTTTCCCCACAAATTTTCTCTGAATGGTTTCATTTAGGCCAGGAACTACCTTAGCTTCAGTATATTGTCCATTCAGTAGATTCCATATAGTGTGATGGTAAAGAGAAGGGCTTTGGAGACAGTCTGGCCTTGAATGGCAACTCCACCATTCAATGGTTACATTTTCTTTTCTTTTTCTTTTTTTCTTTTTTTTTTACATCTTTATTGGAGTATAACTGCTTTACAATGGTGTCTTAGTTTCTGCTTTATAACACAGTGAATCAGTTATACATATGTCCGCATATCTCTTCCCTCTTGCATCTCCCTCCCTCCCAACCTCCCTATGCCACCCCTCCAGGCAGTCACAAAGCACCGAGCTGATCTCCCTGTGCTATGCGGTTGCTTCCCACTAGCTAGCTATTTTACGTTTGGTAGTGTATATATGTCCATTCCTCAATGGTTACATTTTCTGAGCTCCTGTTTAACTCATTTGTAAAATGAGGTGGATGATTGTGAGGATTCAGTGAATTAATACATAAAGCACCTAAAACAATGTACTGGGCACTCAGCAAGTGTTACCTGATAACTTTTTTACTCAGTTGAATTTCTACTGCCTCTCTATTCTGTGTTTCAAACACTTTTTTTAATCCTTTTTTGCCTTGTCCCCTTTTGAAGTCCTTCAGTAATTCAGAATTTGAAAGTCCAAAACAATGTGTTTTCTCTTTCTAAGTGATGTGCATACCTGGCTCTCTGATAATGAACATCTCTCTTTTTCTGACCTATTTAACCTAGAAATGTTTGGAGTCTCATCTGTTCTACTTAATATTTTCTGTTTGTCTCCCTTCTATCCATTTTTCAGGCTGCAGGAAGATCTGTTCATGCTCTTATTAACTTTCACTGGCTCATTTAATTCATTAACTATTGAGCTTCTGTGTGCCAGGTGCTGTTCTACGTCCTGTTGATAAATGAAATGAACAAGGTTCCCTGCTCTCAGGTTAAAAAGGTCTAAAAGTTAGTGTTTGCATATTTAAGAAGGTAGCTAGGGGGCAGACCATAAGGAGGTAGGTCCTTATCCCAAGAGCAATAGGAAGTTGAAGGTTTTGTTGAGTGACCAACAAAGTGAGTAATTCTACTTTGAAATGTCTGGAGTTCCATAAGTTGGGTCTCTGGGTTAATGGAAGGAGTTAAGTAATGGGTAAATGAGGTGAAAGGATGCTGTAGCAGTTCAGTCAAGAGCTATGAAAGTAGAATGGTTGTAGTAGCTTGGACTAGAGTGGTGATGTTAGAAACCTAAAGAATTTGAAAGACTTAGCGGGTAAAACAGCCAGGTCTTGGTGAGGAAAAAGGTGGTATCTAAGAATCTGAAGTTGTTGACTTGCATAATTGGAAAAGTAAGGTGATACGTGGAACAAATTACTGATTAAAAAAACAGGTTTCATGATGGGGAGGCAGGAGTGCTATTGGAACCCTCTTGGCTTTCCGTGTGAAAGGGACCTGAAAAGAGGAAGCTGTATAGAAGGGTATGTAATTGTGACTTGTGCCTTTTATTTTCAAAAACAGTATATAGAGTGGCAAGTTTTATGTGTATTTTATTTTATGACAACACTGAAGCATGGTATGCAC